CGCTCATCTCTGGAACGGGGATGCCGCAGTACACCTGCTCCAGAGACGCAGGCTAGAGAGCCAGGTCTCCAGCGTCCATGGCAGAGAGAACTGGAGAAGTACAGCACATTTCCGAAGGCTCTGCGGCCGGCCCTGCAAGGCTGGTGTCAGCCTGCCCCCCCCCCCCCGGCTTCTCTGTCACAGCTGCTGTGGGCTGCGGCCTGGGGTGGTGTGTGTGGTGGGGGTGGGGGTGAATTCTCAGCTCTCAGAACCGGGGAGGGTCCGATCATCAATGGCTGGGGATAGAGTGGGAAGCCGGGTGCAGTGAGGAAGGCCTCAGGCAGAAACATCTGGAAAGAGAGAAGACTGTGCCCCTGCTGGGCGGGGACCCCTCCCCCACGTCCGCCCTGGCTGACCCCTTCTGATGAGCAAGGCTGCCGGCAGCAGCCCTCGCCTCTCTCAGGTCCCAGTTCCTTGCCGTGTGTCTTCAGCCAAGGCCAGGCCTGGGACTGCAGGGATGGCTGACGCCTGCCCTTCCCGAGAGTCAGGAAGAAGCCACCGCGGGAGCCTCCAGACCCGACTCCCAGCAGCCAAGCTCCTCATTGCTTTAGACATGCCTGCAGGAGGTTCTACAGTTCCTGCTCCACCACTTCCACGCTAACCGGCAGAGTGGAGCCCCTCAGGACACCCCTGGGGTCACCAGAGCCCCTCTGTTTGGCCAGGCACACACACAGATACACACACGCATGCGTGTACGCACATGTATGACTATCATAGGCATCTATGGTTTCATTGACCCATTGACTTTGACCCTCACGACGTCAGGGTCTCACTGAGTCCTTCCTGTCCCACAGCCTACCCCCAGCCACAGCCACGGTCCCCAGCCCACTCCGGCCTCGCCTCCTAGAGCAGCCTCTCCCCCCACGGCCACCTGTCCAGGACTCGGATGACTGGCCCCTTGGCAGTAGTAGCCAGTCACTGGCAGTCCTCTTCCCCAGCTGCCACCAGCGTTTGCTGCTCCTGTCACTCATGGACGGCTCACCGCCCGTCACTCCATGCAGCCGTCAGGAGGTAACCCTGACCATTGCCTCTCAGGGTGGGGTGCATACAAGAAGACAGTCTGTCACGGGCTGGGGCTGCAGTCTCCTCTTCTTCCTCAGCTGCCCTGATGTGGCCTGGTGGGGAGCAGCTGCTCAGATGGGGAGGAGCTGGTCAGTCAGCCTCTCCACAGGGGGAAGAGCCTCAGCCTCTCCAGCCTTGGCCTTCACTATGGTTTGCCAGGTCCCTTGATGATACTGGGTGAGGAGTTGAGCAATCAAGTTTGTTTGTTTGGGGGAGACCATTGAGGAGGCAGAGAAGGTGGCAGTGAGGAGAGGCTTGCCGGCCTGGGCAATGTTTGCTGGTGGGCACATGGGGTGGGGAGGGGGGAAGGGGGGAAGCGAGACCCCAGCAGACCAGGTTAGGCTTGCTTGAGTCAGGAATTGAGCTTGGATCATTTGCCTGAGGCATCTTGGTCCGGGAAAGGGAATGCACTCAGGGACCTGATGGCCACGTCCGGGGTGTCTCCCCTGTACATGTCCGCCAGCTGGACTTCTGGACATGAGCTGGGGGGGGGGTGGAGGGTGCCACTCAGGAGCCAGAGGTAGAGAGGTTGACTCAGGCTGCCCCACACTGTCCCTGGGGCAGACTGTGTACTGAGGGGGAGCAAGCAAGCGACCATGGTGTGTGTGCATAAATGGGTGTGGCTGTGCATCCATATGCACCCCTGTATGTACACATGTGTAGTGGGTGAATGTGCATGTGTGCGCACAAGTGTGTGTATGGAAAAGCATCAGGTGCATGTGAGTGTGCGTGTATGTGCATGTGTGCACACATGTGAGTATGCATTTGTGCCCATGTGTGCCCATGTGCATGTGTATGTAAGTGCATGTGGTATGCATTTGTGTGCTGTGTGTGTGTATGAAACGTGCATGTGTGTGCACCTGTGTGCTGTGTGTGCATTGTGTGTGTTCATGGATGTGTGCACATGGGTGTGTGCGTGTGCGTGTGCACACTTGCTGGTGCGGGACTGGGGATCAAGGTGCAGCCTCCGAGGAGGCCCGGGAGGTCTGACTGGCAGGTGCAGGCAGTGGGAGTCGGGGTTGAGTCAGTCCTCTAGTGGTTACTGAGTGCACACTGCAGGTCCTACATCAGACTCCTGGGTCAGAAGTTCACACCTCTGGAAGGTTCTCACATCACTAAAATGAAAGGCAGCCTGTAGGTCTCGTGTGGCAGGCTACCTGTGAGCTCAAAGAGCCTTGCAGACTGAGGGCAGTCACTTCTCCCTGGCCACATTAGAGGGCCTGGTGGAGCTGCTGCTGGCCTTGGCTTATTGTAAAACCTTAAAGCTTACCTCTCCGGAAACTTTTAAACATGTCCAACTTTATTAAGAGTGTCTCCACGGCAGCCGTATTCCTCCCAGCACTTTTTGATTTTTAACATCACATCACATCACATGCTTTTATCCCTGCCTGGCCTCAGAGAGCTGCTCCTACCTTGGCCTCCTGCGTATGTGCCTGGGATTCCAGGCACAGACCCTCAAACACGGCTTGTTTGTTAAAAGCTTGATAGCATTTTACCCGGGCTAGCCTTGAACCCCTGTTCTGTATCTCCTGAGTAGTGAGATTACAGGTGTGACCCGTCAAACACAGCCTCATATAAACCTCCAGTGATCAGTCCTTCCAGCACAGACTTCCATTTCATGAGTCTGGATACAGACATAGCCCTGGGAAAGAGGGAAAGCGGAGGGGAGCCAGTCAGAGAATCTGGGCCGCTCCGGAGCGTCTGAGGCCTGGCAGAGTGTGGACAGAGGGGGTCGTTTTTCTACCACAAGAACATCACATAAAGTTATTTAAGTTACATTAAAATGTTTATATTTCATTTCATTAATTTATATATTATTAGTTTATTAACATACACCAAAAGCACATGGAGATTTCACTGTGATAATTCCATACAGGCCTACAGAATACTTCTTTACGGTGTACTTTGAATAGGCTCATCCCTCTAAAACAAATTTTTGTCTTAACTTCAAATAAATTTAACCATTTAAGTTTTTAACCATTTTTAGAGTTTTCTTTCACACTGCCATACCACAGGACATACCCCAAAATTATAAGTAATTTTTTAAGTGACGAAGGGTATCTGAATTGAATTTGTTTAAAAAATAAAGCTAGGATCTCAGTAGAAAACTTGGTAAAAGGCATAAACATAATTTATGTGCAAAAATTTATGTGCAAGAATTCCATTTTGGGGCTGGGAAGGTGGCTCAGTGGTGGAGTGCTTACCTTGCATGCATGAGACTTCTGGGTTTAATTCCTCAGCACCACATAAACAGAAAAAGCTGGAAGTGGTGCTGTGGTTCTAGTGGTAGAGCACTAACCTTGAGCTGAAGAGCTGGGGAACAGTGCCCAGGCCCAGAGTTCAGGCCCCACGACCAACACACACACAAAAATAACCCATAAAAATTCCACTTTACTCATAATCAAATACATCTAAAATAGCACCACACTGAAATGCAGTGCTATTTATGTCCATAAAATTAGCAAATGAGTTCTCATTTTAAGAAATGTGTGTGTGTGTGTGTGTGTGTGTGTGTGTGTGTGTGTGAACTAATTAGGACAGGGAGGGCTAGGTCAAGTTCTTTAGTACTGACCTTTAGAAGAACAACAGGGCCAAAGTATATGAAGAACCTTAAAAACATTCACATCAAGGAGGGCACTGGTGGCTCACGCCTGTAATCCTAGCTACTCAGGAGGCTGAGATCTGAGATTCATGGTTCAAAATTACCCAGGCAGAAAAGTCCCCATGAGAAATAGCACTGTGGCTTAAAATGGTAGAGCAATAGCCTTGAGCAAAAAGAGCTCAGGGATAGTGCCCAGGCCCTGAGTTCAAGCCCCACAACTGACCAAAAAAAAAAAAAATCACATCATGTAATGTAGTAATCTCAGTTCTGAGAATTTATCCTAAAGAATCACAAGGGTGGGGAGAATTTTAAGAACAAAAGAATAGAAGCCAAATGGCCAACATCAGAGAAATAATGAAATTTATTTATTATTATGTGCTGGCCCTGGGGCTTAAACGCAGAGGCTTACTTTTTTTTAGCTCAAGGCTAGAGCTCTACCACTTGATCCCAGATCCACTTCCAGATTTTTGCTCGTTAATTAGAGATAAGAATCTCACAAACTCTCCTTCCTGGGCTGGCTTTGAGTTATGATCCTCAGATCTCAGCTTCCTAAGCAGTGAAGATACAGCCCTGAGCTACCGGCACTGGGCTTAGTAAAAGGACTTTATCTCTCAATATGGAACATTCTTCAGGGGTTAAAAGCTATGATGTGCTGGTGATTAATGGAAGACATCTTTATGCATTTAGGTGTTTTATCTTAAAGCAGATTGTTCCTTTTTTATATATAAGGAACAATCTCAACCACAGACTATTTGGACAACCATGGGGAGGAATACTCCAATGACTGCCAGAACTCTGCATTTGGAGATGTCAGACCATAGTTCCTTCTTCCTGAGCTTTTGCTCTTAGTTCCCCATTAGAAGAGGGAGGAGGAGGAGGAAGAGGAGGAGGAGGAGGAGGAGGAGGAGGAAGAATTAAGGGGGGAGGAACCACTGGGGCTGAGAATAAACTTTTTTCCAAAGACCCTGAATTTATCTACTTTCCCCAAGTACCCGCATCTGCAGAGTCACCAAAAATATTCCAGACCAGCAAAAAGAAGAAAGAAAAAAAAAGCACCTCAAAGTCGAATGAGATGAGGGCCCAGAGAGGCCAAGGAGAAAAATAACAGGAGATCGATAGGGAAACATTGGTTAGGGAAAAGCCAACACAAATAGAACCCTGGCTGGAATGTTTCCCAGTTGCTTCCATACTTTGTCCATGATCCTCGTATGTCTCTTGTGACCTGAGCCCGGTGCAGGTGTGCAGACAGAACATTAATCAAACCAGCTCCCAGACGCACTCCTCTGCCCCTTGGTGTCTAGAAATCTAAGTCGTCTTGGCCAAAGCCATCTGCCCTGTCCCCAGTCTGGGTGCAGGTGAAGTTTCCAGCCACCTTCTCGACTCTTTGGTCACAGTCTTCATCTGCTCCCTGCACTGGAGTCCTTGGTTCCGAAGGGGCTTCTTCTTGCTCCGAAGTGGAACTTTCTGGATACATCGTGGTGATTCTTCTCTCTGCATGTGGAGCCCCGTGAGCTCCGACTTCAGTGCACCTTGGGTCTCGGCTTGAATAATCTTCTTCTGAGCCTTTCTGAGAGGCCTGGGAACAGTCTCCCAGGGACCTCGTGCTGGGGTGGCCACAGGTTGCACAAGGTGCTTGGGAGCTTGGAGTGTGTGGAGGGCTGCCTCCCTCTGGGGCAGTGGGTGGTGTGGGCCTCCCTTCCTGGTGTAGACTGCTGTTTCTAGAAGCTTCCCCGCTCTGGCTCTTTCCTGGATTCACCAGAGAGCCACTCTTTTTCTTACTTTCCTGTCCTTCTTCTGTCTCTGTCTGTCCCTCTTCCTGTCCCCCTTCAGCCCCCACAGGGTCCCTGGCCTCAGAACCCTGGTCCAGAGTTCCCGCCTTCTCAACCACGCTGTCCTCTAGACGCCCAGCCATCTGGTCTGGGGTGCTGGTGGCTTCCTCCTCCCTCTCCTCCCTCTCCAGACACTCAGCCCCCTCTGCCTCCCAGGGCTCAGGATCTTCCCTCCCGCCGGGCCTCGGGCTCTCCCCTTGCCCCTCTCCCTTCCCCACTGCAGGTCCTGGGCTCAACCCCAGCACTGTCCCTCCCTCTGTCCTCCACAGATCCTCCAGAGGAGCCTCTGCCTCCCTGTTCATGCCTCCTCCTTTCTTCTTCTGAAGAATTTGCTGAAGGTCAAAGGCCCTTCTGATGGGGGCGCCCACGGCGCCCGCGGTGGAGGAGCGGGGCGGGAGGGCTGCTCTCTTCCTGGCACAGGCATAGCAAGGGCAGAACTCATCCTCCGCAGCCTCCCTTCCCAGGGCTGGCCCGAGGGGGGGTGGGTCCTCTGGGGTGCAGGGGAGCGGCCCCTGGCCCGGGGGCGGCTCAGGGAAGACGGAGAGGTTGTGTAGGCCCCAAAGCCGGCGGCGGCGCTGCTCAGTCTGCAGGGACGTCTGTCCCCAGAGAGCTCCCCGGGGTGGCCCAGGGATGGTCCTCCCCAGAGCCGTCCTCCCTGCCCTAGCCTGGACCTTCCAGAGTTCTTTACTGGTGCTTTCTTGGAGCCGCAAGCTCACTTCCCGCTCCAGCTCGGCTGCCATCTGGTCCAGCTGGCTGCTGTCCTGCAGGTTCCAGTGGGCGCGCAGTGCGGCCATGGCCCCCGCCAGGTGTGCCATGAAGGCCTTTTCCAGCTTTTTCAGCAGCCTGGACACCCAGACGGGGTCAGGGTCCAGGGATTCTCTGCAGGCCACGGACGTGATCTCCTTTCCGGTCCCCGGGCCCGTCCTGGCTCCTGTGGGCAGCTCTTCCCCAGCAGCCTCCCCCCGGGAGCCACGCGGTCCCTCCCCAACCGGTGAGTCCTGGTGGCTGGGACACTCGGTGGGCTCTGCAGGTCTCTCCACCCTCCCTGGGGGACACAGCCCCGCAGAGGGGGCGTCGCGTCCTGCCTCCTCTTCCAGCATGCCCATGTCTTCCTCTGAGCCCTCTCGGTCCCCAGAGCCAGCCCCAGACATGTCATGCTGGCTGACGCCTGGCTTGAGGATTCTTTCCTCTCCTTGTGTCCCTCCTCCCTCAGTCTCTTCTAACGCCTCCCCATCCTCCTGCACTGAATTTTCAACGAATTGTTCCTCTGCAGGTCTTGGCTCCCGCTTCCCGTTGCCTCTCTCTGTTTCCTGGGAGCTGGTGGAGCTGGTGGAGGGACTTGGCTGTGGGGCCCCCGAGTCCTCAGGGTACCTCAGGGTTCCAGAATCTGGCCTTTGGGAGACTTCCGGAGGCAGCTCCGCCCTCTCAGGGGCCAGGGCCCCGTCCATGGCACAAGGCACGCTGCCCTCCCCCGAGCCTGCAGACCCGCTGCTGACATCCACGCCAGAGGACGAGGTGGGCGTGAAGCCCTGCGTCGTCACCGTCACCGGCAGAGCCCGGTGTGACGCCAGCGTCCCCAAGCCCAGATCCCCTCGGCCTTGTTCGAGGCCACACCCCGGCCACAGGGCCTGGGAGATGGTCAGGAGCTCCTGGTACCCCGAGGAGCCCCGGAGCCCTGCTTTGCCAGCCAGCGCCCCCAGATCTTCATCAAAGAAACGGAGGCTGGCAAGGCAGGCGATGAGGGCCCCGGCGGAGTGGCTGAGCCTCCTGGCCGCCGTGCCCGACACCTCTGGCAGGCTGCTGGGCCGGTCCTGCTTGGTACCCAGCAGGGCCTTCATGATCTGCGTGGAGGCAGAGATCCGTCCCGGAAGAGCGTACGGGCTCACACCCCGGCACCCGCGGGCCGCCTCTCCCTCTCCAGCCTCCGCAGGGACAGCCAGGGACATTTCTCCTGGAGCTTTATCCTGGTGGCAATCAGCCTCTGATCCAGGGCCTGCGCCGCTAGCCACTGTCAGGGCATCTGCTGGCTCCGCTGCCGAGGACTGCTCTCTGGCCGGGGGCAGCTCCACCTGGCCTTTCAGAGAATGGTTGTCACCGGGGTCCTCCTCCTCCTCCAGGCCTTCCGGGCCATGGCCGGCCACGTGTGTGGTCTCGCCCGCCATGTCGTACCCCAGGAGCGCGGGTGCTTCTGGGATGCTGCCCAGCCACTCGCGGACGATGGCATCGGGTGAGCTGTGGGGCAGGGTGCTGGGCATCCCCAGGGGGTCTTCCTCCCGCCCCTCCACGTTCTGCTCTGCACTAGGAGGGGGCCCGGGCAGCCCCCGCCTGGACCCTGCACCCTCGTCAGCCCGTCGTCGGCCAACACTGCTACCGCTGCAGCTCGAATGGCGCTTCTCTGCCCGGGGTGGCTCCCCTGGCGGGGTGGGGAAGTAGCCGCTGTGGCCCCTGCAGGCCTCGGAGGAGGGTCTGGAGATGGCCCGCGCCCGATTCGGATCCTCCGAGACCCGGCAGGCCTCCGTCTGTGAACAGCAGCAGCCGTGGGAGGCTCCGGATGCCCCACCATGAGGACATCCATCCAACCGGATGGAGGATGAGGAGGGCCTGGGGGAGCCGGCGGCCTCATCCCCCAGGCTGCCGGCCCCCCGCACGTGGGCGGCCGTGGGCGCTGAGCCGTGCACCCTGCACTTGTCCCCCGCTGGCTCCTCGGACAGAGCCCTGGGGCCGTGGGACCGGGAAGCCCCGTTGGAGTTACTCCTGGACGTGGTGACGGTGTTCTTGGCCACTGCCAAGTCCTGGGAGCCAAGGGAGGGTGATCCCAGGTCCTCAGAAGTCTGTTTCCTCGCTCTGGGCAGGGTTGGCGGCGTCCCGGCGCTGGGGCAGGCTCTTCTGGCAGGAGGCCTTGGCGCTTGCAGGGCTGCGGGGCCGGTGGAGCCGTGGGCGTGGCAGCAGCACTGGTCCCACCTGGCCTGGCCTCTCTGGGCGGCTTGGCTGGACGGGCCCGGGGAGCCAGCCAGCCTCCTCTGCTTCCTCTTCGCTCTCTGGGCTGGGGCCGAGGCTGGAGGAGGGACAGAGCCTCCTGCATCCCAGCTAGCACAGTCCAGACTCAGGGGCAGCCTCGCCACAGGCCCGCTCCTGGCCTGTGAGCGCCCAGGGCCCCGTCCACACTTCTCTGCCTGGAGGTCCATGCTGCTCAAAGACGGGGGGCTCGGGGAGGGAGCCCTGGGGCTGTGGTCCTGGGCGGCCTTGCCCTGGGCAGTCACAGCCCTTGCCTGGCTCCGGCCGGCACGGTGCTGACCGTCCCGCTTGCTGGCCTCCTCAGGAGACCCAGGATTGGCTGATGAGTCTGAAGGAGCCCTTGCCACACCTCGGGTTCTGGGTCCCAGGCAGCCACATTGCCCCCCGTCACGGAGCCCCACGCCCTCTGTGCGTGGATGGTGGACGGCCTCCTGCCCCCCCCTGCTCCGGGCGGCACTCACGGAGGCTGGGCAGGGACTGCTGCCGTCCCCCCCACTTCCCAGGGCCCTGGGGTCACAGGAGTCTGGCTCAGAGCTGCCAGCGTTGCCAGCACTCGAGGCCGGGCTGGTGCTGTGCTGGCTGGGTCTTCTCCTGCCGTGGGTCCCGTGGCGCCTGCAGCGGGAGAGGTGGACGGGCCCCCAGGTCCTCCGCGGCGTGGGCCGCTCTTCCGGGGGGGCGCACAGCGGATTCCTCCAGATGTCATAGCTGGGCCCTGGCCGCCAGTTGCTACCAAGGGCTCCCAAGGGAGCCGGTGCCCGTGTCCCGGACTCCCCAGTGCTGCAAGGACGGCCCTCCGGTCTGCAGCAGAGAGGCTCGGTGTCTCCCAGGTCCCGGGCCTCGCCACTGGCTGCCGTGGGGGTGCTGGCCCGCCCCATCCCCTGGGACCGCAGCAACGCGTCCGCGCCCAGCAGCTGGAAGCAGACCTTCATCTCCACAGACAGGCTGCCATCCTCATTCACGTGGACCTTCTTCCCCACATTGTCACCAGCTACCAAGGGACCAGGGTGGGTGAGTGTGACTTGAGGGTAGCTGTGGGGGACAGGCCCCGCCCAGGCATGATTCCCGGATGATGGGTGCTCACCCGGACCAGACTTGGCTGGCAGTAAGGAAAACTTGGGCGGCTTTCCCCCAGATCTGGGCCTCAAATGGATCACGCTCTGCTTGGCCTTTGGTCCCCAGCGACCTGGTATGCAGGGAAGAGAAGAGAAGAGAGAAGAGCAGTGAGCTGCGGAGGAGCATAGCGGAAGAGCGGGGTCCTTCCAAAAGAACCATCTGCAGAGGTGCTCATGGGAAGCCACAGAGCCACAGAGCTAAGAACCAAGAGCTACAGAATGACGTCTGAGTCCAGCCTCTGTGCTGCCAGCTGGGGGGCTTCCGGCAGAGCCGCATTCTGAACTGCGAAAGATGCACGGTGCTGTTTGGCTTGGTAGAGTTGCTTTGACAGCACATGGCCATGCCTGGCTCCAACTTGCTGTGTATACAGCCAGCGTGCGTCAGGCGACGCTTGCTGCCTAGAAAGCTTACTGCATGCAACGTGTGCTTGCAATTGGGTATGGTGATCGATTATCCTCACACATCAAACTAACAAATAATGTGGGGAGAGGGGCAGAACACACAAAAACAGATTGGTGGTCCAGCTTATACTCCAGTTAGGAGAAAGGACTGCCAGGGACTGCAAACGGCCCTGGGAAAGAATGGATGCCTGGATGCTTCTTTCTTCATCCCCTGAGGTATACTTGTTGGGAGGGCAGGGCCAGCAGAAGCTGAACTCATGGTCAGCAGGACAGAGCCCTTGAGAGTATCTGGGCAGAAGCAAACTTAGGGGCTCCCAGAGCCTGGGCCTGGGCAAGTGCCTATGCTGTGGCCTCCTGAAATGCTGCAGTCACTAACACCACTGTTGCCATGTTTTAATGGATTCTCACAAAGGCGAGAACTTTGTTTACCCACCAAATGTGCCTCTTGTCATTCCAACTATTTAGCATTGTGTGTGTGTGTGTGTGTGTGTGTGTGTGTGTGTGTGTGTGTGTGAGACCAAACTTTGGCACAGAGGAGGCGTTTTGGATTATAACCGGTCAGGTAGATGGGTGGACAATCCAGCCATCATGTGCTTACATCCTGTGACTTGCTGCAGGCCACCTCTGTTGCCTACAACCACGAATGACTCTGAGAGGCGTGAATGCACGAGGCGCAGCCCTTGTGATGTCACGTCCACCGCAGTTCTTCAGGAAGCAGCTCAACACTCAAGATTTCCAAATCCTGACTGCCTCCATCTCACATTCCAGCTCCTTCCCTTCAAGTGTTCTGCCCAGTGAGGGACCCCACAAGCAAGGGATGACCTCAGAATCTGGGCCAAACACGTTTCCTGCCTTACCTCAAAGGAACACCAGCCTGTCCGCAGGACCAACTCACCGTGTTTGCTCCGTGAAGTCAGCCCGGAGGAAGTTCCAGCCCTGTACACAGCATCTTCTACCTCCAGAGGCCTGAGGGCCTCCTTCCCAGCGCACACCAGCACAGACGGGCTATGCAGCAAGGCCTGCAGACAGTCCACCTGGAGGAGACCGGCATGGGGTCGGAAACCTGGCCTGCACGCCCCTCTGGTTGGGAGGAGGACGGCAGTCTCTTAATCCTTCCTGACTTGTGAATGTCTTCACCAGATTCCTGCTCTAAAGACTCCTCCCCCTTCCCCCCCCAAACACGGTCTCCCCTTCCTACAGCACTGTCTCCACCAGCTCTGTCTACATCTGTGGGTCACTACGGATGGAAAAGAGGGCAGCGCCAGAGGCTGCTCCTGCCCACACGTCCCCCACAGAGCATGTCTCCACAAGCAGCCACTGAAGAAAGCTGCCTGGCCCCGCGGGGAGACCCGATTCAATGTCACACCGTTTTCCCAGCTGGATAGTCCTTGCTGGCATCTGGCCTCTGTTTCCAGTACCATCGAAGCCCTCTGCCTGTGCTCCCCAGAGTACAGCTCTCCGAGGAGAGCCCTTCCCTTCCTGGGGCCTGTCCTGACGCTTCTCCACCCCCAGGCCCCCCAGTAGAATGTGTCTCAGAGCACAGCAGGCACCGCTGCAGAAAACAGGCCCCTCTTCTTCGAAGGCCTCACCTGGCCCCAGAGCCCGTGAGTACCCATGGCTTCTCAGTCGCTACCATGAACTGCAGAGATGGTCTTTCTCATTTCCTCCCATTAGAACGGCACGCTCATTCACGAGGAAAATGATGTATGTCTGTGCTGTACCCCAGATCTTTCAGTTGGTTAGAAATGATTGTCAACTTTTAGGTATGTTTCTTCTTTGATTTAGATTTCTAGCCCATCTCAGAAATACAGAAATGACCCAATTTATACACACAGCCATACTTCTTGGGGAGATCTGACTTTCCAAGGAGTAAGAGAGGACTGAACCCACGTGGAGCTCCCATCATCGGGAGAGGAGTAGAATCATCTGGGGGAAGTCATTTGGGCTCCAGGATCTAAACGAGCATTCACCCTCAGAGGACTCAAAAGTTGATAGGCAAGACACAGCCCTCCCTGGGGAGCAACGAGGTCATCATGTTCACAGAAACTCTAATAGCCATGCACGGAGTGGATATGAAAATACGCGGATAACTTTTCTCTTGTACCGGACAAACCAAGAAAGTGAAAAGTGCAGAGGGAGGCATGTGTGGATGAGCAAAGCCACACTTGTTGTCCACACCTACTTCTGGACGCCAACAGGTGGTGGTGACCTTCCCCTTCCCCACACCTGGGTGAGGGCCAAGGCAGGCAGCGAGGCTGTGGAGGGGCTCCCGGGCCAGGTGGAAGGAAGCCTGTTGGATTGACTTGACCTCTTCACTTTTACTTAGGGAAATCAAGAATACTACTTCTTTCCTTCTAAGGGGCCAAGGGACTTGTTTAAGAGTCAACCAGATGCCAATGGCTCACACCGATCATCCTAGCTGCGCAGGAGGCTGAGACCTGGGGACCCATGAGACTCTTATCTCCAATTACTCACCAATAAGAGTCCATGAGACTCTTATCTCCAATTACTCACCAGAAAACCAGAAGTTGCACTGTGGCTTAAAGTGGTAGAGCATCAGCCTTGAGTGAAAAAGCTCAGAGATAGCTCCGAGGCCCTGAGTTCAAGCCCCACAACCAACAAAAAGGAAAGGAAAGGAAAGGAGAGGAGAGGAGAGGAAAGGAGAGGAAAGGAGAGGAAAGGAGAGGAAAGGAAAGGAAAGGAAAGGAAAGGAAAGGAAAGGAAAGGAAAGGAAAGGAAAGGAAAGGAAAGGAAAGGAAAAGGGAATGAAAGAATCAGACCCCACGCCTACCTTTTCCCCACTGGTTGTGTACAGTTGCTTCACGGGAAAGTGCAGAAGGTCGGAGGCTCTGCTGAGGAAGGCCGCCAGGCTCCTCGTGTTCCTGTGGCTGAGAACCATGCTTTTCTGGGACCTGGGGTCCCCGTGCTTCACCAGTGTCACTGTCCTTGGGGCTGCAGCACCTTTCCAGGAAGATGCTCCTGGTGTGTGGCGCCCACCTGTGAGACCCTGGGATTGCAGAGTGGAAGGGCTTCTCCCCTGGGGCCGACCTGGGCCACTGGGGGTCTTGGGGGGCTTCCTGTCGGAGCAGAGGTAGCAGCCTCCATCTTGGAGCTGTTCTAGGGTGCTGAGGCTGTGCAGGCCCCGGGGGGTGGTGATAGAGCGCACCCCGAAAGACAGAGGCACACGCTGAGAGAGCTCATCCATCAGGGCACTAAAGGTCTTGAAGGCTCGCTGGTGAACGGCCACGCGAACCCCAGCAAAGCGGGGATCCCCTCGCTTGAAGAAGGTTATCTTCTTGGCTGGTGTGACCCTGGCGACGGAAGGAGCGGCAGCCGTGGAGGGCGGCAGGCCCGGCCGGCGGCTTGGAGCCTGGCCCTTGCTTGGGGTGCTGTTCATGACGTAGAGGCCCGGGCAGCTGCGGTGGGCAAAGGGAGAGAGGGCTCAGAGGGCAGTTTGTGGGCTGCACTTCCTGTCTCTCCCCTTTTTATAGAAGTGCTTCCTGTGACCTCAAATGGGCTCCACTAAGCGGTGCCGAGGCCTCTGAATCCATCTAGACAAAAGGAACACATATGCCAGATCTTTACTCCTTTCTTTCCTCTTGCCATTTCTTGCGCCCTCTCCTGCCAGCCTCTCTCAGTGTGTTGTGGTTTCTGTCCTGAACACATGGGTAGTCCTGACAAAGGCCACGGAGCATAGGGTGAAAATTCTGGACAAGGAGTTGGGAGAGTAGACAGCATGTCTCCTTTTCCTGACCCTCCCCATGTGGCTTAGAGAATTCTCCTTGTCAAGTGCGCAGAAGCGCGGACCCCAAGCTCCTCAGGTCTGAGGAGACACGGGTCCTTGGAGCTCTATGCAGTAACTCAAACAGGAGGCATCACTCCATGTCCCGTGTCTTCTCTGCTAGATTGTGTTGTTTGCTTTAATGTAAAAAGTCATGCAGTTCCTCGTGTCCCCCGCGGTGTCTTTGAAAGCTGCACTCTGAACCCTAAGAACAAACACCCCAGCTCACTGCCATACACCTGGGCACTGGGGACAGCACCAGTGGGGGGTTTGGCCGTTTCCCCACGGTAGTGGGACCCCACTGTATCACACCTGAGACTCATACAAAACCCTTCTGCTGCACATCCTTCCTGCCCCAAGGCCATCAATCTGTGCTCTGTGCACAGCCAGGCCGTCCAACCTTCACCTGAGCATACCCTGCAACCTCGAACCCTCAGGGGCTGCTCAGTCACTGAAGCAAAAGCTCAGGCCTTCCCCCCGCCAGCCAAGGGGGTTCCCCACTTCTCCCTGCTTCCTGTGGGAGCCTCATCTCTTCTTGCCTGCAGTGGGACCCTGAGATTCACCACAGAGGTGGCTCCATTGCTGTACTCTGTCACGCAGGGCAACTTCTGCAGTGTTCCTTTTTCCTGGGATAGATTTTTTTCTAGCCCATCCCACTAAGATCTAGGAAGCAGAGTCTGCCCTCTGTAGGGCACCCACAACCTCACTTGACCCAAAACACAGTCCAGAAAATACGGATGAACCACAGCGGTGCTCTGCAGACCTTCCTGCCTGAGCCAGGTCTGTCACAGTGCTCGTGAGCAGTAGTCAGTGAGAAGTTTTCCCAGCTCATGGGTGCTCAGCGCCTTCTCAGGCCCTCCGCTCCGTGCATGCCAAAGCTGAGAGGCCTGCTCTCCACAGCCGTGGATGCTCTGGTCACCAGACCATGACTCTCTCCTCTGGTCCCTTTCTAGCCCTATTCTTCTGCAGGGAAAGAACTCTCCTCTCATTTTCAAGTTCTTGCTGCACAGAGGAGCCTTGTAATCCTCTCTCATCTCTGGCCCAGCTACATGATTTGCTTTCTCAAGCTCCCTCCTCCCTGCTGATCCCTGTAAACGGCTCTCATTGGCCCTCTGACGGCCCTGCAGCTGTCACAAGCTGTCCACCTCCGGTGCCTGCCTGGAAACAGCTTTTCTTCCCACTTGATTCTCATCTCCATTCGTGACTGCAGGTGTCCTTCCTGGCCTTGGCCGGGAGACCCATAGAGAAAGGAGGCCCAGCCCCCAGTTCATCCTGACCTCCCGCGTCCCAGCGTCACCATGCTCCCCATCTCCCCCAGGATTCCCGCTCCTCCCCTGCCCTGAGCACTGGACCCTGCACCAAGTCCTCTGGGACAGGGGCTCAAGGTGAGGCGGGAGCTTGGCCGGAGCTGAGGCTGTGTGTGCGAGGGCCAGGCAAGGGCGCCTGGCAACTGTCGCGCCTGCCTGTCCTTTCCCCCCCCCTCCGGGAGATGGTCACTCTCTGAATGGGAAGTCCTCATCTCTACCTGGAGTTTTGAAATGAAAAGATCATGTGACCTACAGGAGCCTAGTGTCAAAGGTCAGGCTGACAGCAGGGCCAGGGGAGAGGCCAGGCTCTGGGCTGAAGAAGAGGTGGGATTTCTGATTTTCCTCCTACTAAGTGTGCTGGGACTGGGGAACCAATACTGTTCTGCACGTAACTGGGGTCAGGGGACACTCACACACATCCATGCACACGCTCACACCCATAAACACACACACCGTTCTCACACACCTATTCACACATGCACAGTGTGCACGTGTACACACACACACACACCACTTACTGGAAAGGAATTTCAGGTTAGGAGAAGGAACAAGAGGAGCAGGCCGGCCCCTGGCTGTGAACTGAGAAGGGAGGCTGGCCAAGAAAGCACGAACCCCACAGGAAGAGGCAGCAGCCCTCCATCTTCAGCACAGCCAGGGAAGACACAACCATAGCGCTGCCAGACTCGCTAGCAAGAGTGACTTCCTCTTGTGGCCGCGGGGACCAAAGTGGGAAGAGTGACTTCTTAGACAAGACTTGTCTTATCTTAGCTAAGGGCATCCCTTAGCTCCACCTGGTTACAGGCTCGCTCAGGAGAATTTCAGGCTTGACATTGGGCGGCAAGAATTCAATGACTAGACAGACATAGCACCACCTGCCAAATCTTCATGTCTTAGGTACCAAGGGGTTGCACAGATAACAAACATTCTGCTTATACACACCGATACCTATCATGTCCTCAGGGTGTGGCGGGAGGCAGGGAAGCGGGAGGCAGGAAAGACCCCTGGCTGAAGTGAAGGGATGGTGGGGGATCCGTGGCAGAGGCAGACGTGGGGTCTGACTCAGGAAGGAGTCGGGGCTGGGGGCGCTGAGACGCAGCCGGGTGCCCTCAGTGTGCCCCGTGGACCGCAGGGACAACCCCTTCTACCTGTAAACAGACTCCGATTTGGGGGTCAAAGGGCATCAGCTGATGCGGAGTGTGGCACACTTGGATTTCTCCCTCCTTTACACTTCCCGTCTTCTACACCAGGCCTCTTCCATCAGCGAAGCAAGGGGAGAGAGGGCTGGCCAGGCAGAGGGCTCCCACACATGGGGGCTCCTCTTTCTTCCCCAGTCATGACATGGTATCTGTGTTACAGCCCCCCACAATGGACAGAAGACAGGAATCCCACTCCCCAGGCTTAGAGCACACCGGCTCCATAAAGGTGAGGCAGGAGAAGGATTCTGGCCCTCTAGAAAGCAGGTAGCCAGCAGGAGGATAGCGAGCCAGGGTCTGGTCCCCAGCTCCACTGTCCTTCTTCCTAGCTGGGACCACCCAGGGGGTACAGGTGTGAGGACAGCCCAGGTCAGGGGAGAGGCTCCACCAGGCCGGGAAGCCACGCCCAGCCACGCTCGCAGATGAGCACCACTGCCGGATACAGCCCATGAGGCAGACAAGACCACACACTACACAGGAGCCAGGGAATGGCTGGAAAGCTGCAGCAGGAAGTGTTGGTGGCATCAAGTCTGTGGGACCCATCGGTGATCCCAGTGAACCCCAAGGCCTGCGATAGAGCCAGAGTATGCTGCATGTGAAGGAGGGGTGGGGCAGGAAGGGGTGGGGCAGGAAGGGGTGGAGCAGGAAGGGGTGGGGCCAGGAGGGATGGACAAGGCCAAAAGGCTGGAATTTGAAGAGGAAGTAGAAAGGGAAGACAAGACTCCTAGCTGTGGACAGGTAGGGGCAAGGAGGCAGAGAAAACCAGATTAAATGAAGGGAATAAAAATTAGAAGTTATCGGGCTGGGAAGGTGGCTCAGTGGTAGAGTGCTTGCCTTGCATGCATGAGGCTCTGGGTTCGATTCCTCAGCACCATATAAGCAGAAAAAGCCAGAAGTGGCGCTGTGGCTCAAGTGGTAGAGCGCTAGCCTTGAGCTGAAGAGCTGAGGGACAGCGCCCAGGCCCTGAGTTCAGGCCCCACAACCAACAACAACAACAAGAACAAAAAATAGAAGTTATAGGATACTCCAAAATGTGATAGCCTTGTACAGAAATTAAGCAGGGTCCATCAAGGGGAGGAAATGGAAGTGAGCGCTGGAGGAAGTGGACCAAGCAGGGCAGGTCCTGTAATAAACATCAGGGGAGTCTGCAGGATTTTTGGAGGCTTCAGTGATTAGGGACAAGGATGCCAAGGTCACACCTAGGAGGGAGGTCCAGGAGGGAGGTGGTGCAGATGCTGATGGACATGACACATGAGCTGCTGAGTGAAATACAGTGTACAGGGACTCCAGAGAGGACCAGGGCCATGGCCAGCCAGCAGGGCACTATGTGCATACCCACAGCCACGCTGGTCAACAAGCTGCAAGAGTCCAGCAGCCTTGTTAACACCACCTTCCAGTGACAGAGAGATGTGGAACTCAGGCTGGCCACGGGACCTGATGGTGAGAGGAAATGGCATCTGCGAGCCCAGACTCCTGTGCAGGCTGTGGCCACGGGGAGACGCTCCCCCAGGATGCTTCCCTTTCTGTCTGGTGATACAGGAAGGGCACATCCACCATGGCTCAGGAAAGGGGACCTCAGACGGAAGAGGCCTGATCTTGACACAGGAAGGAGAATCCTTGGAAACTGACAGAAAACAAAACAAACCCCAGTGTCATCGCATCTTCCTGCCCACCCCCAAGACACATTAGGCGAGTAATCGCTGGCCACCAGAGCTGCAGGGTAAGCCAGCTGCTGGCTCGGCCTGGACTTGCAGGGCTGTGCTTCCCCATGGCAGGAAGTGGATCTGGTTCGTCTCTGCCCCTGTGCTTGATGAACGCCTGCAATGCTGCGGCACTCGGGGAGGAACCGGGTGGGCAGAGAACCGAGTGAGGACTTGCCTTGAAGAACAGGTAATAATAGAACGAGGCAGCGTGGAGACGGCTCTCCTGCTCAGCGATGATGGGACACCTTTCACAGCCAAGGAAGGAGTAAACTTGCAGGTGCTGTGGGCTGTGGAGCTGCAGGGGTTTGGGACACATGCAGACAGGGCCTGTCCCCAGGCTGCCCCCGGCCCTGAGTGCTGAGAACATAATCCAAGGGCTAACAAACAAGCAATCAGAGCGATGTAGTGAGGGT